AGCCTGGTTTTCAGTAGCGATGCAAGCGTAAGCAGCAGACGCAAGTAACGCGTTGATCACCAGTGTCTTTTGTTTAGGACAAATCAACACGTTACGGGTCTGCGTTTGTTTTCTTGCGCTTGTGTGTGCTTGCGTTGCTAGTGTTAAAGATGTAAAAAACTAACAGGACTTTGACTGTTATCACTCAGTAGCAAGTTGATGAAAGTACTGCTTTTGGTAATAAAATAATGAAAATAATAAGCCAGTGTGCATTCCTTTTAACTGAGCTTCAGAAGGGAGGCTCCGCCCAAAAGGGGTACCTTTTTCAGGCTGGAGGTATATAAAAGAGTAGGAATTTAACGAGTTGAAGTATAAGAAAGGGTAGGGAAAACTGTCATTTAGGTATTTAAAAAGGCCTTTCAAAATATCTCGGACGCACCTAAACGGCTGATTCATCCAAGTAGTTTAAGGGATTACTCAAGTGAAAATTTAGAAAAGGGATGCAGTGTTTCTACTGTAGGTATGTGAAAGGGGTACCATTTTGGTTACCTTTTCTGTCAACAATGGTAGAAAAAGGGTAAGGGTTTAGACCTTGGGGCGGAGCTTCCCCGTATAAATCCCAAAGGGAAACAATACACCAATAAAACTCGCCATAACCTGTTACACTGTTGGCGACAGCCTTCACTTGCCCCAAAAATGCCATCCAGTTTTAAGCTTAGCCCAACTCATTTGAAACGCAATATTCGCTTCGAGCCTTCACCGAAAATAAGCCCTCCACGCGAGTCCCCGAGAATAAGCACACGAAAAAGTCCTTATAATCCTGGTTATAATAAGCCCAGGGCTTTTAATATATTCGGAATTTTACGTTTGTTACCACCCAGTTCAGTTTGTGTGGCACAGGTTGCTCAAAGATTTTATAATTTCTTTAGTAACTGCTGTTGCAATATTAGACTTTCTAAGACGATAGTTAGAGCTGTGAAAATATCACAGTTAGTCATTTACCTTTAGAATGCCTGATACTTATTGCTATCCTAAAATCCTTTACTAACAAATTACAAAACCTAGGCGCCTATGATGATCACACAAACAGAGCATGGTCAGCCACTGTCCTGTATATCTGATAATGCTGGCTCGATCTGGCTTCATAGCTCAGTTGGTAGAGCATCGCACCTGCAACGCGGAGGTCATGGGTTCAAATCCCGTTTAAGGAAACAGTGGAGGAGAATAGCCTCTGTGGATTTCGACTGAAATTCCCATTTTTAAAATTATTTTATTTATTAAATTGCAAACACAACTGCAAGGATATTTCTTCACTTTATACTCTATCCGCGGTTCATTTATCAAAATAAATTGCCGTCTTAATTTGTTGCTTTTCGACAAACAACCCCAGCACGAATCTGAGGCTTGAAATTGGGTTAAATCGCAGCAAAAATGAATCCATTTTCAAATAAAATTCAGAATTCAACGCATTATATTGTTGATGATTAGATCCCGCATCATTTTTGTCACCGAGGTGCTATTTATGCACCTCAGTAGACTAAGAAAGAAACCGTGACACTGTCTCCTTCGCAGCCGTTATCTGGGTCGTCGCGCAATTGGGAGAAGTGTTGCGTGACGACTCAAAGGAGACCTCTTTCAAGAACACAATGCAACAAGTAATACATTCACCAATATGTTATTAGCTTTCACGCACCTCGAAAACAACAAAAAAAGGAAGAAAGAAAAAAATGGCCATTTTCTTTCAACAAGTTCTTCAACTGACATGACGTTATCCCTTTATAGGGGGACAAGGGACGGGAACCCGGGAGAAAAGGGGGCGGGATGTTCTACGGGTGGCGGGAAAAAAGAGGCGGGAAGCGGGATTCCCCCCACCCCACTCCCACTTGCAAAAATACCGTCAACACCTATTTGTCACGTGATTGCATTTCTGGGAAAGAATCGCTGCCGTTGTTTGTATATTGTGTGCGTACAGGTTAGTCTCTTTTTGCTCCGATTTTTCAAGTTAGATTCTATTTTGTTTTAATTTAAACCATAGGAAAGATTTTTAAAACGATGGCGAAAAGCTTCATCTTAGCAGATAACTTGGCGAAGGAGTTAGAATGCGCTGTTTGCTTGGAGCAGTACAAGGAGCCTAAAGTTCTGCCATGTCTTCACTCCTTCTGCAAAACATGCCTGGCAGGACTGCTTAATAAACAAGGAAAGGTGTGGAGGATAAATTGCCCCAGCTTGCCGCATTAGTGTTGAGGTTAGTTCGTTGAAATGCTCGAATCTGCAGTTGAAATCTGTGATCAGTATGCCCTCTCCCCCGTCCAAGGATCCTTTACTTTGGGGCTGAATCGTTTCTGAGGAAGTAAACCGATCGAAATTGTCGTCTTTCCATTAATCGTAGTAGACTTGATGTGAACAGGTGTAAAATCATCATTTTATAAGTTTTACAATATATAAACTTGTTTGAGGGGATTATCGGGAGGGGGAGGGATAAGGGGGGGGGGGGGGGGGGGGGTTAACCTGTTATTATGCACTGTGGGAAATCAAATGTGGTGCAAATGAATTTTATTCATTAATTGTGGTGTTAACGAGCAAAGGAAATCTCAAAAGCAAATGATTGTCACATGAAGAAACCTTCGCGCTCCCCGGGGGTAGTGAAATAAATTATAATAATTATCCAAAACGCGGTTAAAGACACAACATTAAGATCTGGAATTTTAGTAAGCTAACATCTGTTTGTATTTTTTTTTGTATTGCACACAGATGCCTCAAGGTAAAGTTGATTCTCTTCCAGTCAACTTCTTCCTCAACAATCTGCTATCCATGGTTGCTCTTCACGGAGACTTGGACAGAAGTAATCTTGAGTGTGATAACTGTGACAGTGGTGACCCCCCTTTCAACAGATGTACCACATGCTGCCATTTCCTCTGTGAGATTTGTACTGCTGGGCATAAACGGGGACGCAGCACAAAAACTCATCGTCTGCTATCGCTTGAAGAAGCCAAAGAAGAGGGACCCATTGCTGTTGTGCGCCCAGCCTTTTGCAAAGAAACACGAAGGAGAGATGCTCAAGCTCTTTTGTGAGACATGCGATGAAGCTATTTGTCGAGATTGCACAATCGTGGAGCATCGTGAACACAAATACACTTTTGTCAAGGTTGCTTTTTCAAAGGGTAAGGAAAGTGTTTTGAAAATTCTGTCAGAGACGAAGACAAAGGCATCCACACTCAAACAGGCATTAGATGGTGTCTCAGAAATGAAAAGAAATGTTCATTCTCATGCAGAACAGACTGTGCAAGAAGTCATTACCTGTTTTCAAGAACTCACAACTCATCTGAATACTCGTTGTGAAGAGTTGATTCACGACATAGAAGAATTCAAAATGTCTAAACTGAAATCATTGGAAATCCAGCAAGGGGAATTGGAAACAGCACTAGGAAGTGTGGAAAGCAGTGTAGAATTCACAGAAAGGGCTTTGGAATGGCAGTGAAGTTGAGATTTTGAACATGCGCAAGCAAATGTCCAGTAGATTGCAAGAACTGAATTCAACTGAGTGGAAGCTGGAACCATGTGCTGACAATGCATGAAGTTCAAAGCTGACAAGCAATTGGAAACAAGAAGTTGCCAACCTTTGGTGTCATTACTGATGTGGTGATGCCAAGAGAGGATGTTCTATATCATCCTCTCTTGGTGACGCATGCTGGTACATTGACAGTAACCATGGGACATGGATCGGAAGGTGTGATGTACAACACACTGGGTGGACATGTCACTGATGTGGTGACGCATGCTGGTACATCGACAGTAACCATGGGACATGGATCGGAAGGTGTGATATACAACACACTGGGTGGACATGTCACTGATGTGGTGACGCATGCTGGTGCATCGACAGTAACCATGGGACATGGATCGGAAGGTGTGATGTACAACACACTGGGTGGACATGTCACTGATGTGGTGACGCATGCTGGTGCATCGACAGTAACCATGGGACATGGATCGGAAGGTGTGATGTACAACACACTGGGTGGACATGTCACTGATGTGGTGACGTATGCTGGTACATCGACAGTAACCATGGGACATGGATCGGAAGGTGTGATATACAACACACTGGGTGGACATGTCACTGATGTGGTGACGCATGCTGGTACATCGACAGTAACCATGGGACATGGATCGGAAGGTGTGATATACAACACACTGGGTGGACATGTCACTGATGTGGTGACGCATGCTGGTACATCGACAGTAACCATGGGACATGGATCGGAAGGTGTGATATACAACACACTGGGTGGACATGTCACTGATGTGGTGACGCATGCTGGTACATCGACAGTAACCATGGGACATGGATCGGAAGGTGTGATATACAACACACTGGGTGGACATGTCACTGATGTGGTGACGCATGCTGGTACATCGACAGTAACCATGGGACATGGATCGGAAGGTGTGATATACAACACACTGGGTGGACATGTCACTGATGTGGTGACGCATGCTGGTACATCGACAGTAACCATGGGACATGGATCGGAAGGTGTGATGTACAACACACTGGGTGGACATGTCACTGATGTGGTGACGCATGCTGGTGCATCGACAGTAACCATGGGACATGGATCGGAAGGTGTGATGTACAACACACTGGGTGGACATGTCACTGATGTGGTGACGCATGCTGGTGCATCGACAGTAACCATGGGACATGGATCGGAAGGTGTGATGTACAACACACTGGGTGGACATGTCACTGATGTGGTGACGTATGCTGGTACATCGACAGTAACCATGGGACATGGATCGGAAGGTGTGATGTACGACACACTGTGTGGACATGTCACTGATGTGGTGACGCATGCTGGTGCATCGACAGTAACCATGGGACATGGATCGGAAGGTGTGATGTAACAACACACTGGGTGGACATGTCACTGATGTGGTGACGTATGCTGGTACATCGACAGTAACCATGGGACATGGATCGGAAGGTGTGATGTACGACACACTGTGTGGACATGTCACTGATGTTGTGACGCATGCTGGTGCATCGACAGTAACCATGGGACATGGATCGGAAGGTGTGATGTACAACACACTGGGTGGACATGTCACTGATGTGGCGACGCATGCTGGTGCATCGACAGTAACCATGGGACATGGATCGGAAGGTGTGATGTACAACACACTGTGTGGGCAGTCTGTTGAATTCACCATAATCACCAAAGAGCAGAATGGAAGGAAACGAACAGAAGGTGGAGATATTTTTGAAGTAGAAATCTGTACCGAAGCTGGTGAAATAGTATTCAATGATTCAAGTAAGGACTGTGGAAATGGAACATATAGTTTCTGTTTTACTCCAAACCGTGGAAATATGAAGTACAAGTTGTCGGTGAAAACTTAATGCTTGTCACGTGAATGGAAGTCCTTTTACATGGTTTAATGAAATCTGGCATCTCTGCTCAGAGGTCCGTGATGTATATGGTGGAAATGCTGGCTACATTCAGCTGACCAGAGATGGCATGACAGCACAATATACCTGGTCTCAGCAGTATTATGATCCATATTACCGTCAACTGGGTGGTGTGCAGCAACTTTTGCAGCAACTGTCTGGTGGCAAAGTGACAGTTTTTGGATCTTTTTTCTTTGGTATCGGTAAGCATTCATGGAAAGTTAGAATATCAGGCAATGTCTCAGCAGAATTTGCTTTTGGTGTTGGTGTAAGTCCTGAAACACGATGCCCTTGTGAATCCCAGTGGACATGGAAGTCTGGACACACATGTCAGCCTTCATCACAACCCCAGAAGAGTACAATTACTAACTGTATGAACAATGACATCATTGAATTTTACCTGGACTGTGATAACAAGACTTTAGTGATGTACAATCACGTACCAAAGACTTTGACATATGGGGCGTACTCCAAGGAAAAGTGCGTCCCATGTTTGAAATGTACTGTGTTGGAGATGCGGTTTCCTTGCCTTGCCTGTTGACGTCTAGACAACATGTATGGGAAAAAAACGAGGAAGAACCCAAGTCGGCACCCATGAGGAGATCAAAAATAGTGAAGTATAAGGGTAGGAAAACAGCAGGATTGTTTAGTAATTAAATATTTGGTTAATCAGTACATTCAGAACAAGTTCAGTTGTGTACTTTGATCATTTGAAGTAGGGCGAAGAAGTTTGTAAACTTTATTATTAATATGTCAGAAGGGTAG